ATTCAGCCCCACATTTGGCTCCCAGCTCAGCAGGAAGTCTGCTTCTCCTTCTAGCTCTCCCCCTCCCCCTGCTTGTGCACTCTCTCTCTAATAAATAAAATCTTTAAAAAATTTCAGATGGGGAAGTATTCTAACGGTAAAGTGCTCCAAGTTCCTTGCTATAGTCAGCTTTATATTTTGTTAGAACAATAATAGCAGAACATTTGTATATTATAAATTTAAGCATAGCCCCTGTAGTGGGCTGAAAATGTCTTCTAAGATGTCTATGTCCTAATTCTTGAAATTTATGAAAATTGTCTTATATGGCAAAGACTTTGCAAATGTGATTAAGTTAAAGATCTTGAGATGAGGAGATTATCCTGGATTATCTGTCTGTGCTCTAAGGACAATCACAAGTGTCTTTATAAGAGAGAGGCAGAGGGAGATTTGATGACAAACTGAAGAGGAGAAGGCAATGAAGGCAATGGAGGCAGAGATTGGAGTGCTATGGCCACAAATGAGGGAATTCTGGCAGCCACCAGAAGTTGAAAGAGGCAAGGAAGGGATTCCCTTAGAACCTCTGTAGAGAGCTCAACCCTGCTTGCAACTTGGTTTCAGACTTCTGGATTTTAGAACTGTGAAAGAGTAAATTTCTGTTGTTTTAAGCCACAAAATTTGTAGTGATTTGCTACAACAGCCACAAGAAACAAATATAAATACTAAATTAAAAGTAATAAAAACCAAGATATCTTTCCCTAGTTTTAAAACAAAAGAGGTAAAAAGAAGCCCATGCACAATAGCAGCAACAATTACAATGTGCCAATGAATAATGCTGGCAGATACACAGATATGGAAGACCTCAACTGAGAAAATTTCAAAATATTATTAATTGTATTCTAGGATGGGAGGAGGAGGGACAGAAGAAAATGAAGGAAATAAAGTCAGGTCTTGAGAATATCTGTAAGGTTTTAAAACTTTCAAAAAAACATCTGAAGAAAATATGGCAAAATGTTGAGTCCTTTAAATTCAGTTGTGGGTGTTATTCTCTGTTCTTGTTTTTATATTTGAAATATTTTACAATAAAAACTAAAAAATAAAATACCATGAGTCTCTATTATATAAAGTGGAAAGAGAGTTCAAAAGATAGGGTTGTGTCTTCCTGCTTGATTTTTTTTTTTTAATGAAATCTTGGAAGCTGTTGACAGAAATAGCTTAGCATGAGCTTGATATAATCAAGGGCACTGAGATCTGGACAATGACCATGATGGAGTTTGGCAAAGATGGAACCAATAATCCCCAAGTATGAGGGAAGGTGGATATGCTCAACCTGAGGTATCATGTGTTCCTCTCTGTTTAGAAGAGATTCCAAAGCATGACTCAAACAATCGCAACAATTGTTTTCCTTGTTTATTTGTTTGCTTTTTATTTTTTTTCTTGTCATAAATCATTTTATTGATTAAACCAAAATCAATGATTATAAAAATTATACTTCATCATTTGACCCCAAAGTGCAAGTGTGAAAACAAGTCCATATATACCAATACATGAAATAGCATAAAATAAGAAAATATTTTTCTTATTTATTATTTTATTTTTTAAATTTAATTTAACTTTATTATGTTAGTCACCATACAGTACATCATTAGTTTTTGATGTAGTGTTCCATGATTCATTGTTTGCATATAATACCCAGTGCTCCACGCAATATGTGCCCTCCTTAATACCCATCACCGGGCTAACCCATCCCCCCAAACCCTCCACTCTAAAACCCTCAGTTTGTTTCTCAGAGTCCATAGCCTCTCATGGTTCATCTCCTGCTCCAATTTCCCCCTTTCATTTTTCCCTTCCTTCTAATTTGCTTGCTTTTTAAAAATTGCACTTATTTTTCAGATAACTTAGAGGAGATAAAGATATTACCTGAACTATAGTAACAGCCAGATATGTGAGGATGAAAAATCCAACTCTAAATCAATTAGAGGTTGCATGACATGGAGGGAAAATCTGAACCAGAGTCAGGAAATCTGGTTCCAAATCTCAGTCTACAGCTAACCAACTGTGAGGCATCTACAGTTTGTATCACCTATAAGTTGGGAAAATAAAAACAACCTCTAAGTTCATTTTTTACATTATCATGCTATAGCTGCTTTTCAGTGTTTTTGTGTTTTTTCATACATGTTGTTCAAGCATCAACTGTAACCATTAGAGTTTCAGCTGAGCAGTTGGCTTCCCAGCTACAAATTGCCTTTCTCAGCCTCCTTTATGTCTAGATGTAGGATCTGGCCAATGGGTGCAAGTGGAAGTTTCTAGGTCTGATCCTTTAAAAAGAGAAATTACATGTACTTTACACTCTCTTTCCCCTTCCTACAAGCTGAAATTCAATTGTGATGCTAGTAAGGCAGCTTCGACTTTGTGAGGAACAAATACTTGAGGATGACAATGCTAGAATAACAGGATAAAAGGAACTTGGGTCCCTGGATGTCTTTATGGAGCAGAACCACTCTCCCATAATGGCAGACTTCACCTTTGGACTTTTATGTGAAAGAAAAAATAAAATCCATCTTGTTTAGTTGTAGCTTAACCAGTGCTTGGATTAATGCAGTGATTAAAAAGGAGCTTCAGATTTTAATAGAAGTCCCAGAGGAGATGGGAACTTTTATCAAGGGTCTGTGACTACTAGTATTACAAGAACAAATACTAGCTTGAATCTAAATATGAGAAAATGATAGAAAAAAATCCACATAGAAAGAGACATTCTGCAAAACAAATGACTGGATTCTTAAAAATTGACAGTGTTATAAAAGGCAAAAAGAGGTTGTGGTATTAGATTTGAAAAGTCTAAAGAACCATGACAAGTATATGTAATCTGTGATCCTTGATTAGAACCTAAATCAAAAATAGAACAAAATTATACAGAATTATACATAATTTTTAAAAAGTTCTGAAGACCCCTACCCAGAGAAGAAAACATCTGAATAAGTGTTAGAAAGAGAACCCAAGGAAATGATTAGGTTAATGAGCTGAATTCATTTATTCATGTATTGAGTCTTCACTAAAGGAAATAACAACTTAGCGCATGGCTATGGTAGAGACCACTAATGGGGGGCGCCTGGGTGGCTCAGTTGGTTAAGAGACCACTAATGGCCCCTGAGTGCTATATATATATATACATA